CCAGTCCCCTAGAGTTTAAAAAGCTGAATGGGCCCAAAAGCACAAAGTGTGGCCATGAACGCCTGAGAGGAGAGTGCCCAGAAACTCAGCACACACTGACTCCTAGTCAGTGTGCAAACAGAACAGTGAATCAGATGGCAGAAAGCAAAGTTCTCAGTCAAGGAGTGAAAAGAAAACTGTCTATGGTACTACAACCAGGAGTATGAGAGAAGAGTCCCATTTCCAGGCTCCAAGCTAGAATCCAGGCAGGTATTGGTTGAGATGCAACCTCAATTTACCTTCAGTTGGGATCCCCCCTCAGGGCTGACTACCTGTGGTACTTTGGTTAAGTTATTTTGTAAATTTGAGTTACTTTACAAAAAAAAAAAAAAAAAAAAAAAGGAGAAACCACATGAGCTTATAGTATAATGTCTTACAAGCATTGTCGTGACACAGACTTGAGGTCATTCCTGGGGCCTCTCAGGGCATCTTCAAAATGTGCTTGCCAAGCCTATATTACAGTCCTTCCTTCAATGGCGTTCATATGCTCCAAGCTTACAGGATATACACCTCAAATGCGAGAGGCCTTAGCTGCCAAATATCCAGGGATAGATGGGCTACTTCATCAATGAGACACCCTTGAAATGCAACAGTCTCTGCCCTGATTGCTATGTAAAAGCTGCCATTGGCTACTCAGGCTTCTCACCAATCTTCTCAAAGCAGCATAACCTCCTGCCCTGCACAGCATTTTCTTTGGAGTTTTATTATAGAGTAACAATAATTCTGCCTTTCATCCACCCAGGTCAACCTACTGGTTTTTACAGTGGTCAGAATGGGATGCATGTTAAATGACAGCTCTTTCCTCACTATTTGTAAAGATTGGATTGGGTAACTAAACTCAGGCCTTGTGAATAGCTGTTCTCCCCACCTCCCAACTTCTCTTCATCTTCCTGTGAAGAAATCTTGCTGATTCTTATTCCCCACCTTCCATTGGAACTTTGAGATATGGCCTCAGAAAGTCCATCTGGTCTTGCACTGGAACGAGGCTGGTAAGGAGTCACCAGATCAAGTTTTCAGAGTGCAGAAGCATTGCAAGTGGACAATTTTTACCGTGTCCTCTAGAAATGACTAGGATCTGGCAGGATGCCTTGAGTACCACAATCCTATGATGAATATATGAGAGTGGAAGGTACATTGGATCAAATGGCTGGTAGTCAGGTTTGGTTTTCAATATCCCAGAGGAATACAGACTGGGGCAGTGATAATCACCAGTGTGCAGTGCTGTTGTGTGGGTTCTAACAGATGGTATCTGTAGCTACCTGCAAAGACTAGATTTTCCCTTCATTGTCATTGCTGCAATAGCCACATGTCAGGCAAATCCATGTTCACTCATCATCGAGCTGCTCCCAGGACTTTAAACCTGAACAGTACTAGGTGGTTAGTTTCAATCAAGAGAACATGAGCAGAGTGACAGTGAGAAAACCCACTTGGGGCTCCCAGAATTCTCCTCTTTATTATGATTATCATTTGGTACTCTTTAGATGTGTGAGCTGCAAAATGAAGTACCCTGGCTTTCTAAGGTAAGTTTTAGAAGAACTGTGAGGCTATAGAGAAAATAAGCCAATGATGCTTCAAGGTTAATTTATCAGCACTGCAGAGCCTTTTAAGTCCTTGAAAAAACAGGCCCCAGAATCTACAGTTCTGAGACAGTGAGGAGAAGGATGTCTTAAAGTTGCCTGCATACAACCCAAGAAAAATCTATTTTTTCAGCTCATGTTTTCTACTCCTAACTAATCTGGTAACTTCCAAAAAAAATATTTTTCTTTTTCAGAAACATATGCACTTATGTTCATTGTATACCTGAACTTAAATATGTGAAGAAAAAGTACATCCTGGCAGCTGTTCAATATTATTATGTAGGATAGCTATATTATTCCATAAGGGATAAAGTACTAGCACTAATAAAATACACAAGGGGATAAAGTGGATCTTAGCTATGACACTTCTCATGTGTCATAAATACTTTTTTAGCTTCCTTCATTTGTAACAAGGGGCAAGCACTAGTACATAACAAATAGGATTATAGGAAATGTTGAAAAAGACAAAATATGAGGACTTTAACAGACAGCCATCTTACAGGAGCACACAACCAGTTTCTGTTATTTTTATGTTGGCATAGTGGCAGTTCCTGCAAATCCACACGAGCATAGTAATCTTACACTAAGTAACGGCAGGGCAATTCTCTAAGTCCTGGAATAAATAGAAGATAACATTAAAATGCCATGTAAGGAGACTAGGATAAAATATGAAGTCTTAGTCTTTGGGATATCTTTGATATGTATGTGCCTCTTGCAACAGGACTCAGTGGGCAGCTAATAGAATGTAACTTTCATGCTTGGAAGATTTGGTGTCAAAGAGGCAGGGATCTTTGATCGTCTTCCGTTGTAGAACTCTACTTATCTTGGAGTGATAAGGAAGTAGGGGTCAACCAGTTTTCAAGATGGCTGTTTTTATTTTAAAATCCTACAGGTAACTTGCTAGAGCAGATACAGGCATCATCACACATCCCCTGTGTGCTGTTTGGTTCAGTCTTCTGATTGCTGTCTTGTGGTGAATGGTTCTGTTTATAGCTTTAAAACTGCTATCTGGGTGACAGGCTTCTGTTTCTAATCTTAAGATGGTTGTCTAGTGGCTTTGCTCCCCATGGTTTATCATGCAGCTTGATGGTACTTGGGAGAGAAATACAATTAACTAACTGTGCACCTGCTCAGCGTACAGTTTTATAACTTGAAGTATGATATGTATCTCGAGGCTTGTGGTGAGAGAGCTTGAGAATAAAGATTTTTTACATGATGTCTTATACTATAAAAATATACCTTTAAATACTTTATATAGTTTATTCTCTCTATAATTTTTCATATGTGTGTATGCATATTGTGCATGTACCTCACCATATATCTTTAAAGTTAAACAGCTATAAATCCCATATTTTTAAGTTTAAAGTGCATAAGAACAGTGGGACCTTGAATTTTAACATGAACTATGACCTCTAACTTCCAGTGTATTTCCAATACCTTACAATTTATCTATTATTTTTCCCCCTATAACATCACCATCATTCTTTTCTACTGACTGTTTTGAGGCAAAGCCTCAGTTTGGACCCCGAATGGTTTGGAAATTCTTACGTAGCCCAGGCTGGTTTTTCAAGTCATGATTCTCCTCAAAATTCCAAGTTCTGGGACTATGGTTCTGAACCTCCAACTTCCATTATCATGTTTTACATGATCAGCACCGAGTTTAGACCAGATCTTAGGCTACATTCTAGAAGTTTCCAGTGACCATTTTACAAGTTGTAAACCCTAGAAAATGCATCAATCTCTCTATAAATTAGGGACTTTTTGTGCAGTATATCTCTGTTATTATTGATTTATGTACTAACTTTGCTAGAAAAAAATGCGGCTATTTGCAGTATTCTTTGATGTATGAGATGACACAGGCGGTACCTTGACCAGTTAAGTTTGTGCAGATAGTAGGCTCTCCACATGGTGATCTCTTGTACACTTTTCACATAGGCCTATATGACATTTGCTTCTTGAATGAAGAGAATCTAATTTTCCATTATAAAGAAGATTATCTGAAATATTTTGAGGAGCTAAAACAGTTGCATTTGAAAAGCAGTTGTTAAGGAACTAAAGGAAACCATTGGTCGCTGGAGTCAGTGCATGATGGTAAAGCAGGGTCCCACTAGAATGAAGTTCTTATTGAGCAGGAGCACAGGGGTGGGTGGAGCCTAAGAGAAGTGGTTAACCAGCAGAGGAAAGAAAGATACATAGGACAGAAAATGTGACTTCCAAGGTAGCACCTGATTATAATAGTTGCATGGCTCTAGGTTTTCTTTTTGTTTTGTTTTGTTTTGTTTTTAATTTTATTTTCCTTATATAAATGGCCATGACTGTCTCAGTAATATTTATTTAAAGAGTATGGCAAGCCAAGTGAGTCAATGTATGCAGAATAAAGTTATACATCATAAAATGCTTAATAATTTGGTAAAAGGTAGAAGTGAAATGAACTAGCATGGTACTACTAGGAATTTCAATTATCCCTTAAAGCATAAGGAAGAAGTTGTTCCCTTCTTTTCTTCAGTCTATCCATGACCTAAATGCATAGTGTCCTGACATATTTCACCCTGAATACAGTTAATTGACAGTGATTGATTCAGATGAAAAGGTCAAAACACCCGAGCATGAGAATGAGGGTGTATATGTAGGTCCAAACAAACAGAAAAAGGCATTATTTAAATAATATTCAAAGAGCCATAACTGAACATGTTCAAGTGAAATTTCTGTAATATATTGTGTTAAAAGGCTTTTGTTGTTGTTGTTGATCCTGGATTTAGTTGAGATAATGTATAATCACCTAAGTTCAGTAGTTTGAAAGAATAATAGACTTCTAATGAGAAATTATTGGAACTGTGAAAATTTTTACACTTTGTAGGCAAGAAGCAGTAATATTAAAACTTAAATGGAAAAGAGGTAATAAAGAGTTGTGAATGTCTGATATCACTCCTCCAGAGTTCTAAGGTCTTGACTCCATAGTTAGTTCCCAACTGAAAGCCCCATGCCTCCTTCCCTTCTACAAACATGGTTTTGCCATTTGAAGTCTTTGTTTAAAAAAAAATATTGCCATGAACTGCAATGAAGGCAGAAAGAAACAAAATGTTACTTGGATTCCACCTACAAAATATTTTATATTTCTTTTATTCCCAATGAAACAAGCCAACCACAGTTAATTAAGCAAAGCCTTGCAGATGAGTCAATAGGCATATGCCTGGATGGTGAAAGCATAGGGAAATGGATCCCAGTCCAACTGACTGAAGGCTTCTGAAGAATAATCAATGAGATTTCTAAACATGGACAGACACAAAGCCATTTTCACATCTTCAGGTTATTAAATGCAGAACAAACCTTTCTCTTCCCCAACTGATTTTTTTCTTATTAAAAAGTTCCAGCACAGAAAGAACATTTGTTTCATATTTTATTGAATTTCATTTATATTAAATTAAAAATATATTTCTGACAGATTCATGTAACAAAAAGGCAGAACAGTTTTCAAATTGTTCAGCTGGGATGATCAGTATGGAATGAGGCAAAGCAGTCGCATTCTATACGTGCCTTGGGGCAGGCACAATTCTTTCCCAAGAGTCAGAAGAGGATCCTTGAGAACTAACTCAAAAAGCCTAATTACATCAATTTAAAATACAGTTTCTCCCTTGTCCTCAATAACAACAGAAAGTGGGGGCAGGAGGGAGAAGAGGCTGAAGGGTTGGAGGAGAAGAAAGAATAGGAAAATTATACTAAAAATATACCTAACATTAAAAAAGTTAGTATGTGTTAAGTGCACAATCCTTCATAGATAACATAGAAAAAAAATGAAAATAACATTTCACCACACACAATCGGCATATCCTATTGTGTAAGCGAGTGCAGAGGTTGGACACATCACAATAGTGCTGAACACAGAATCACAGGTAATGTCAAAATGATAATTTCCAACCAAAAAAGAAACAATCACAAGCCAATTACTTATATACAAATCAACCCTAAAGACAATTATGTTCCAAATAAAGATGTTCACAGAAGAAAAATCAAAGCAACATTATCCTTATTTACAAATGCAGCTAGCCATGTCTTTAACAAGCTATAAAAATACTATTCACATTTTCAAACATACAGTAGTATTTTTTGTTTGTTTATTTCAAAAAGGCAGCTAACTTTGAATGCTGGGTTTGAAATGAAACATAGACGGCTACCAGCGAGTTATTTTTTTTCGGCCCTATCCTTTGATGATACTTCAGAGGAAAGAGGACTCGTTTTCTGTTTACAAGTCAAAAAATAAGGAAATGAGCGCAACTCTGCCTTTTCTGCAAATTGTCTCCCTTTCTCACCCAAACTCTCTTATTTAACTACTGTGATGCGTGCATGAGATGAATTTTGAGAGATTTAATGTGACCTAGTTTTGTGTGTGTGCCATGAATTGTCTTGCACATGAATCTCATTTATATTTGATCCTATTCTAATGATACTCAGAATGAAACTGATCAAGCAGCCAGAGCATGGGAAAATGCACTGTCAGTGTGCGGCCATGCAGGCCGTGGTGCTCACATGATGAGGTGGACGCAAGCCGGCCAGTAAGGTGAGCATTCAAAGTTAGCTGCCCTTGCACAGCTGCTCAGTTTAAGAGTCGACCCATTTAACAGCAGTACCAGTTTATGCTACATATTTCAAAGTACCTTACTTTAAAAGAACGGCTTACATGTATCTATCTACACTTAGAAAATTACTTTCATAGCTGATTACTGGAATAATTCCAAAAGGGTTCTTGGAGTGTTGTGGGTGTTACTCTCTCACTCCCCACTCCCAGCCCCTGAGAGATCCAGAACTACACAGGGATATGACTCTCACATTAAGGAAAATGGTACAACTCCTCCATTAACTGAAAAACACAGGAAATGAAACTTGAAAGTCAGGTTTCTGTCAATCGATAGAAGGTAGGGTTTGCTAGTCTTCGACGGGGCAACGGGTCAGGGGAAACAACACATTAGGGATAAAAATAGCAAGAAAGACAAAGTGGTTTGGACAAACTTGACTATTGTCTACAGGTAGAAATCTTGTTTTCCTGTATTGTATATTTATACAAATATAAACACTTCTCATGACATGGGGGAGAGCACACTAAAGCATTAAAAGAAAAATTTCCTTGTAGAGGAAGTAGAATTCTGTCAGTCCATGTGGGCTTTTATTACAGTGACATGGTGCTTATTATAAATGTGTTAGATGGATGGATGTTCAACCAAACTCAGAGAAGGTTCTTAAAGGTGAATTGCCTCTACTTTTGTGATAATAACACTCCTCATCTGGGAAAGAAAAATCTAGCAGCTGTAAAATATTTATAATCAGGAATAAAATAAAGTGATCAAAGTAAATAAGTTAGTCGGCCACAATAACTTAGTTTTATATATATATACACATAAAACTATATCTACACATACACAGTTTTCATGGAAAGAGTAAAGGTAAGATCTAGAGGTGCGTGTACAAACAACGTGAGTTTCGAGACTCGTTACAGAGCTAACTTATCTCAAATTCCTACAGAGAAGTCCACAGTGAGAGAATCAATTGTCATGGAAAAACAATTTTAGCATCTTAAATAATTATTTGTGCTGTCTTTGTTTGAGAAGTAGTTTACTACCATCTAGAGTGGTTGAATATTTTAATGGAAAAAAAAATCAGGCATTTGAGGGCAAAGGCTAGGTCAGTATTTCACAGAAGAGGATGTGGGTCTTCATAGATCCACTATGGCTTAAGAAAGCGACAGCCTTAGGAGAGCCACTTTGAACTAGTGACAGAAAATCAAACAGAAAAAGGCATTGTGCAAGTGGGGGATAGAAAAGCAAAGGTGCCATTTTCCTCTAAGACTCAGAGGCAAATAAAATTTCCTGCATCTCTGATAAGGTGATCACTCACTTGCAAAGCTGACTTTCAAGGAATTCCCTTCCAGGGGAGATAGGTGAATGTTCCTTGAAATTGGGGCTTATATAGTCTTCTCAGCCTCTGACTTTAGAAGCATTTTCTTCTACCTAAACCATCTCTTGGCCAGGAGTGAGGCGAGACAGGGGTCTGCAAGGGAAACATCCTATCTATTGTCTATTTAATCAGTGGGACATGATGAGCAAGAATCTGAAGTTCTTATTATTTTATGATGCTTTCACTTAAAGTAAGGAACAAAGCAGCCCCTGATGTTGGAAGGTTTTATATATACAAATGCAAGGGCACCTGATCCCATATAATGTCCACAATGTCTTTGTGTTCATAAGAGCGGAGAGAAATCCTTCAAAGGCATCTCTAAGTTTAGAAAAATTGTGTTGATTCTATCCAGACACAGGAATGTTGGCCTCATTTTAGTGTCAACAAAAAGAAGGTCTCAACTGTCAATGATCTTTTAAAATAATGCCTGATTCACATTCATATTCACATGTCATTTTTTCTTGAGCAGATGGTCAGCATGAGAGAGCCACATGCCTTGACATGTCTATGGGTGGACAAGACTATCCTTCAGTCCCAGAGAGGCACATCCAGACTCTCTGCCCATGTTATGTGCAGTAGAAGTTGGTTTGTCTGACCTTTAAACTGTTAGTAGCTATGTTTTTGGATTTCTCATTTTCCTCACAATGAACCAACAGTTAAAAAACAAGAGTCCAAAAGAACACCTATTTAATAGTTTAGAATTTTTGCTTCAGCATCTACTTATCAAAAATGGAAAAAAAAGTGGTGATAGGTTCCATATTGGTTATGTAGGCAAGAAGGTATGGAGAGAAAAGAAAAGACATGTCACAAATTAAACATGTTGTGTTTGCTTCCTAAATGATAACACTCATTTTGTTGCTGTTTGTTTTGCATCTATAAAAGGTAATATAGACCCTTTTCATTTCCTTTACTCATTTGGAAGATCTCTTAACCTCACATGTGGTTTACCTGCCTGTTAAAGCACTTCGAATTGATGTCTGCAAAGCAATCCCTTTCTGCATCCTCTTTGTACATAATACATTTTAAATGTAATGAAAGAATAGGAGAACAAGAGAAAAATCATCTGTAGTGCTCTAAAGCAAGTTTTCACAATTGAAACCATACTACATCTACTATCTGTAAACCCAACCAACAACCAACCATTTTAAATGGCAAACTTATCATTTATTTTCTATGCAAAACCCACCCTACATTTTCATAGTCTGAATTTTACTGTGTTATTTTATATTTCATGATTAATTTTCTAGTTTGATTTCTTCTTAATATTAAAAGCATTTAACATTTGATAACCTAACTAATTCTACGTCTTATGGCATTGGCATGATTGTGTCCAGTTATTCACATGCTTTCATGGTCACTTTTTTTCTTTTTTTTTTTTAACCTTGTGAACTACATGTACTAGTTAAATAATCAACAATTACAGATGGACAAAGAATTCCAGTTTTTAAATAAAGGTTAGACTGTTCAAAAGAATCTTATATTTACATCCTTCTGTGTCAGGCATAAAAACTTGTTTTTTGTTTCTAGTTTGATATCTCAGAAAACACAGTCATCATCCCCCAACCTCATCTATCAGCAAAGCCTCGTGTCTCTCTACTATCCATTCCCTACCACTGACAATATGCGCCATTCTCAAAAGGTGTAACATATGAAAATGACATATTTAAAAACTGCCCCCCCACCTCCAATTTCTTCTTTCAAGTTAGAGCTAGTCAGCCGTTCTTCCTGACTTACAAAAATCAGACTTTTACCAAGTCTTTGATCTTCCATTTTGTGTTTTTAATAGTTTGAAATGTGCATTGTTTTCACAGTTTCAAGAATACTTCTAGAAAGAAAGAACCACATCCTAACCTGTGCTACCAATGTAATTCAGAAAACCAGGACTAGCTTCTTGCTTGAGCTGCAGCATTTTGGAGACTCTGAACCTCTCCTGACTTAAAGGATATTTTTTTCTCATCTGTTTAAGAATAGCTTCTTTAAATGAGTATTTCACTACAAAAGAAAATAAATAACCTGCCTGAAAATTAGATTCCCCAAACTAAGCATGATCGTTACAATTTGAAGATTAAAAAAATATATATAGTTAGCTTAATTTTAACATTAATTTTACTGAGTCTTTCAAATTGATTCTGCATATTCTGATTGGTGCTGATGATGATTAGCACCTGATATTAGATAGCAATCTGTAGGCTTTAACTAGCATCTTACAATTTCAGTTTGCCGAGTTAAACAAGTTATTGTCTTAAGTAAATGAAAGCCCTCCTCACAATCCCTGTTTGCTGTCCTTTTAGTCTACTGTTGAATAATTTCCCCCTAGGTAGTCAATACTAAAACAAACGCCAAATACCAGAACAACAAGCATATATTAGGAAGTCATAAAAGGAATGCTAAAATGGCATTTAGGGGTCATTCTCAATTTCTCCAGCATCTATTTCTAAGGGGAGATGTGTAGAGAACTGCAAATCTTGTGCTTCTAAGGAGGAGATAGCATTCAATGACTATGTTCCCATTGCTTTAACAGTTAAGAGATTATCTTCTTTCTTTTACAAAAAAAAAAGAAAAAGAAAAAGAAAAAAGGTCTACTTTCTTATTCCCACCAGAAGCCATATGAATATTGTAAATGAAGAGAAAAGGTCAGGATAGCTTTCCAAAGGTGCTGCCAGCAATGGGTAGGCATAGATTTATCTACTAGCAAAGGCTTACATTTCAACTCTTCATACTTAATAGGGACCTATACAAGGTCCCCTTTCTTGTAGATGCCTCTGAATTGGATTGGGGAGCTTTGGGTTTTAAAGCTGTGGCCCTTGGAACACACTATGTCTTTATCTCTAGTAAATTTAGGGTTAGACTTCACTAGACAAGATCTCACAAACCGTCCTCCTGTCTCTAGCTCCCATTTTCAGTTTGCTTCACTTCTCTTAGCAAAAGAAGAGGCCAAACCCAACACATTTAAGAGGTTTGGCTAAAGATCACCATTTGCTTCTGCTTTCATAGTAAGACTGTCACTTTGCCAGTGATATCATATTTTTATGGTCAAGTTTGTGTCTGGATAAGAGCATTGAAGTGATTGTATTTGTCATCTTCGGTGGTTTGAAGGATGTTTAACTTACATCCCAGTGAGGTCTCAGAACTTTTACTAAAAACCTGTTCTGCGAAGCCTTTCACAAATAGTCAATGTGACCTGGTTCCTTGGACTCATGGAGAAATAAGAATGTCACAGGAAATAAATGTAAACTGTTAACATTTGAAGTCAGAGATGATATCTCATTTATCTGACTGTTCCCCCACATACATTTAGTAGACTTTAAACAAATATCAATTGAATAAATCTAGATTTGGATGGATGGATTTAGTTTTTCAAAATAGGTAGAAACATAAATGTCTATGAAAAAATTTCTCCCTTAAGAAAATGTTTAATCTAATTGATTTTTTTTTTTAGGCTAGTGAGTCTAATTGTCTCTTAATAAAATAACAGTAGAAAGAAATGTTTAAAAATCTAAATGACTCAGAGAAGAATTTTGTAGAAAAGAGCAAAGTACTAGGTTTCCCTATTTCCTAGAGATTTATCTGTCATTGTTCCCATCAGTCATCTTAACACCATAGGTGTTCTTTTCAAATGAAAGCTAAGCTTGGTTCTACAAGCGGGGCATAGTATGGTAGTAGATGAAGAGTCATTACATAAATAATTACAAGATTAATGTACTGGATGATAAAATGATTGCATGAGAAGGGTTTTCATGTTTATTTACAAACTTTTAACTCAATCATGGACCCGTTCATATGCTCCAAATGTTTATGATTTACTTTTAATTATAGCAACTTAGGTGTGAAGAGTTAAGCTACCTTCTACTCAATATAAACAGAGTCTCATTCTAGAAATTCCATGGAATTCAAGCCAATCCTCAACTTGCATTCCTTCACACAGAGAGTTACAAAGGTAACATACTTCCTTACACAGCAAATGTCACAGAGTATGAAGATAATGTGCTGGCCCTCTCACCGCAATCCCTGGGTACTGTTCCAAAGTCCTAGTTGGCTTAGTTTGGCATTTCCACAGTCTGTATTTATCTTAGATCCTTTTAAAAAAATGTACTTAAATCTGCTGGTTGCTTCCATATTGCTTCATTCAAAATCCAAAGTAGAGTTCAGAAAAAGAGCAAATAAAATTAGAGCTGAAGTGCAAACTAAATTTCTGAGTACCTTCCATGTAGACGTACCCAATCCAGTGTTTCTTCCACTGCATGGATCCCCCATGGGACCACCCCTGAAAGTATCAGTAGTTTTTTTTTTTTTTTGAACCACACAGAACTGTTTCTTAGCATCCCTTCTACTCTGAAGATTACCACTGCCCATCTAAGACAGTCATTTATGGTGAAAAATAAAATGCTAAAGAAGGAAAATCACAGGGAAGAATAAATTCAGTAGTGGAAAACATGAAATCTAGATTTGATGCTATTTTTCCTAGTATCTTGGCTTTCTCTTCTAATTTAAAGGACTGCATGATTTAAAATAATGGCCTCTACATCACATTAGTGTGTGTGTGTGTGTGTGTGTGTGTGTGTGTGTGTGTGTGTGTTTCAACTGTGTCAAGAAGCTTTTATGTAAATATCTTCGTAACTAGAAACCACAGCCGAAAATAGGGGAGGAACTAATATAAAGGAACAGGCCAAAGCAAACCAAAATGAGAACACCAGAGAGGTCTTCTATGCATAATTACTAGTTATAACTATAATGGAGATTTAAAAATTATAAAAGCTGGGTTGGCCATTCTTATTTGCCAGGAAAGAAACTATCGGAGAAAGAAATTGGCTTCTCCATCTCAGTTACTATCAAATGGGATCCAAATGCTCATCCTTTTGTTCTAATGAAAGCTTTCGTATGATTTTTAGGGATGCTGAATATGCACAAGTCTATGGCTGCAGATGAGAATAGAGTCTGGGTTTTCTATCACCTGCATTGATATGAGAAAGGGAAGGAATAAAGGAGGGAGAGAGAATGTAAAAGTCAACGCTGGGACTCTGACAGCAGGCAGTACAGCCTTATTATATACCCTAGGCCTTCTCTAGCTCTGACACTGTTGACCAACCCATATGAAGAAATGAAGAAACAGCGTGTGTCCGCCTGTCTTTCTCCTTCAGTCTTTCCTTCTAATGTTCAAGTTAGGTAAGCACAGAACTATCATTGCGTCTCTATACCTTCCATTAGGAAGTGTCAAAACTACTGGCCTTGGGAGAAGGAAGACCACCAGAGAAAGAGCAGGGGTGTGTGTGTGTGTGGAGGGGGATGGAGTGGGCATGTCTCTCCACCTAACACCCCAGCTGAGCTCACACCACAGTATTCCGGTGTCTGTAGGGCGGAGGGGGCAGCATTGTGCCAGGCTTCAGCGAGAACTCAGAGAGGTACTCAGGATTCTCTGCCACAATAGGGCGGATCCGTCCGTTCTGTTTATAAAAATACTTTGTGCTGTATTCCTGCAGGTAGTCTGGGTGCTGAAGGGTGCTCCGGGGTGGCAGGCTGTGGTTCCAGTAGTCGGGGTTGTCGAACGCTTTCTTGGCTTTCTCGGGCACAGACAGTACGCTGTTCTTCAGGTACTCGGCGTTCCCCAAGGCGTTGGCGAAGGTGTTGAGATAGAGTGGTTCATTCACGTACTCATCCTCCGTCTTGGGCGGACCGCTGGAAGCGCTGTGATATTCCGGGTTATCTAAAGCTTGAAGGTCTCCGTTTTTTCTCCGTGACACGAAAGGATTTTCTTCCACAGGATTCAGATATTCTGAAAGAATATATATATATTAAAAAAAAATGACATCTAATAGAGATCTACGTTCAGATATCGTTAATCTGACTAAAGTTAAGAACAACGGTTAGGTTTGTTTAGAACAAGAGAGCCACAAATTCGTTTTCTTTTCTCAAAACAAAACAAAGCCTGCCTGTAGACTGGAACAGGCAAGAGAAAAGCGAGTAGGCTCAAATAAAACAAAAGAGTAACAAAAAAAAGTTAGCAAAACAAGGCATGGACAAGGACAGGGTCGGAATCCCAATCTTAGATTTTCTTCTCTTCTAAATGCACCTACATGTGGTGCCAGCTGTGTAAAGGCTTCTACTTATGGGGCTGTCGGGGTTAAATGCCCTTTGTGGGGCTGGAGAAATGGTTTAACCGCTAAGTGCTTGCAGCTTTCACAAAAAGACCAGAGCTGCCTTCCCAGGATCCATATTAGACCCTCACAAGCACCTGGAACTCCAGCTCCAGGAAATTTAATGCCCTTTTCTGGCCTCCATGGGCTCCAGCACACATGTGAACACAGACATAGACACACAGACACAGACACACACACGTGCATAGACACAAGCACGCACGTACATTCAATACCTAATTAAAATCTTTCTAAGAATACCCTTTGAACAAAAAGTCTGCACATATCTATCTTTATCCATCTATCCATCATCTATCCACCACCATTCTGTCTATCCTATCTATCTATCTTTCTATTTATCTATCTATCAATCATCCATCTATCTTCCTAATCTATTCTGGACTATAGTAGTGAGGGATCAGTAGCCTGTGTTTCACATACAGTGAACAGAGCCATATAGAGATGATATAATGGGATTTCACAGTCTTAACATATGGCCTGCTGCTGAAACTGACAGACATCATCATGATCACTATTTTCAATAAAAATTATTCATTGTCTCTGTTTTGTGGCACTGCTACCACAGAGAGAAAGAAGGTTTTTTTTTTTGTTGTTGTTGTTTGTTTGTTTTCAAAACTAAAATGTTATTTGATGTGGGTGTTTTAATTTTCTATGCTGAACGTTTACAAAGCCATTAATTCACAAGCCATCTTCAAGATGGTGGTGTACATAAGTCCTTAGAGAATCAAATTTTATTTTTGAAGAATCACAAAAATCATAGTATCCTGTGGTAAACTTAGTTATTTTTGGTGATACTGGGGTTGGTCTAAATCTAAGTTCTAATGTGTACTAAGAAAGCACCCTATGATGATTCAAAACCCTAATACTAAGCTAGGTCAGTGAGATTTCATGTTTTAAATAAATCAGCTCTTTTATTGTTGACATCAGAAGGTCTGGTCCTTCGCCAGTAACTCCTGTCTTTATAACCTCCATGGTAACTTCAACACAGCAACTGTTCTGAAGCCCTGTAGTATCATACTACTTCATTCAACTATTCCAATAGAGGTGGATTTAGGTTGGTGTTTGTCGAGCTTTGTTGTGCTTATACATCACTTGAGGATTTCATTAAAAATCCAATTTCGTGTTCAGGTGGAGCTTGAAGTTCTGACTATTTAAAGAAGTACTTAGGTACATAGATGCCACTGATTCAGAAAACTATTCTCTAATAGTTATAGCCTGGGCCTTTTTCTATTATAGATCACAAATGTCAGACCCTCCAGCTGTCTGGAAACTTGGCTTCTGTCCCGTTTGTTTGAAGGAGGGAATCATTGAGCACAGTCACTTCTGAATGTTCAGCTTGTACCTTGTTTGGGTTTGTCACACATGGGAGTCATGTAGCCTTCTTCATCCAGTTCGCCTCGTGGGTTCCGTTCTGGGGCAAACACCGTGGGGTCAGCACTATACCTCTGTGTGCTACTGTCTTCTTGGACATGGGGTGCCACTGTCTTGCGTAGGGTGCCATTACAGCAGGAGTCATCAAACATCTCAGCTGTTGCACCCTGAGCGACTGGAGCTTCTGGTATGGTGTTGGTTGTGGCTCTGTAGGGCATGGCTATTCCTTGTTGTGTAGCAAAGCCCCCATCCTGGTACACAAACTGATTCTGTTAAAATAGCAGAAACACATTGGGAGAATCAGCGGTTAGGAAAAATTGTAAGAGGATCCTGAATGTAAAAGGTACCAAACACATTGTCTTTCAAGTTTAGTAATTAATGACTTATTTTCCTAGGAGGCTAATGAATTTGAGGTAAAGACTAGACACATCTAAAATTCTACTTTTTTCTGTGTGCCTATATATATACACACACACATTCATATTCATGTACGTGTGAGTGTAGGTATACATGCATGTGGAAGTCAGAGGTCAATGTTGGGTGTCTTCTTTTTTATCCCTGTACCTTAGTTCTTGAGATAGAATTTCTCACTTAACCTGGAACTCATCAATTTGCCTATATTGGTTGGTTAGGAAGGCCTAGAGATCGTCTTTCAGCACCTTCCTTGTGCTGGAATTCGAATGTCCAGCTCTTTGTGTAGATGTGGGGATCCAACTCAGACCATTATGCTTGTGCAGCAAGCCATTTTCTGACTAAGCCATCTTCTCAGCCCCTTCCAATCCTGACTTTTTTTTAATAGGTAAAAAAAAAATCATGTGGAAATAATTTAAAATTTCAATTTTTAAATTTACTAAGTAACAAGAGTGTGATCTAATAAAAAGATTTTTTGTGTTCTCTACAATTGCCTAATTTTTTTATGAAACTCCAAGTAAATTTTCATGACAAAAGTCTTAAGTGCAGAAGTACAGTGAAATATTACGAATGGCAAGGCGCCAATACTACCTCCCATTCTGCGGTTACTATGACGTTGGTGTCGAGTACCTAACAAAAGGACAGTCACTGAGACTCAGACTTTACAGCACATGACCTGCAGTCATGAGACTGAAGATAAAATCTTCACCCAGAAGCATAATTCATGGACTGGTAAATCCTTCCAATCACCATTGAAAGCTCCTGTTGGTGTCTGATGTCTCAGTTGCAGATTATCACCCGACATACAGACATCTACACAGGCAGCTACAGGATCTACAGCCAATTCCTGACTCACTGTTGGCAACGGCAATAATGAGGAAATCATAGGGAGACAAGAGAAGAAACGTGGTTAAGAGAAGACCAAAAATCCTAAAAGATGAAGGCTGATCGTGAAATACTTACTCCCGACATGGGGGTGTAGGCAGGAGGAGGGCTGTGTCCAATTTCACTCTAATAGGAAAGAAAAATGGAATGATGGATATAATAAGAGGCAACATGGATGAAAAACTAAAAAAAAAAAAAGAAAAGAAAAGTGAAAGAAAAGATACGATTTGCATGGGCCAAAGAAGGAAGTGCATAAGAGTGATTTTTCCTAAATAGTCAAATTGTGTTCATTCACACTACAAACAAGCAAATTTAAACACTAATTCTGCCCCAGACAAAGAAAATCACATTGACAAAGTAAAATTTGTAATGATTTAAAAGAAAATAAGGCTGACATAAGAATTATAATTTTTCAGATTAACCGTAGAAGTCAGAGGGCGAAAGCCAGAAATAATGAAACTGTGTTTTAAAATAAAGGATAGTTTGCTTTTTACATATCAAAAGACCAAAACAGCTTCATGCTATTTAGGATCATTACAAGACACCAGTTTGTTTCCTTACAAGAAAAAAAAAAGGGGGGGGGGTGTTTAGAAGGAAATAGAAAGTGGATTTAAATTTGTCTGAAATATTTTCTATTAAGTTACATTTATTTTCATCACTTCAGCAAAGGCCACTCAGTCTTTCCTTATTAAAAAAAAAAAGGCCACAGACTATTGTATCTTTCTTTATACTTCTTAAAAAGGGAAGAAACAGAAGAATACTTGAAAAATAAATTTGTTACTAGAAACATAATTTCTATTCTTTTTATATAGTCACACAACCAGGTTTTGGCTTCAAAAAGTCTATATTGTTATGGCTTAATATTCTATCCTTTGGGCTATATGAAGGTGAAGGTAAAATATGGCAAAGTGTTAAGGATACTGTTCCTTCAGAAGAAGAAGTGGGGCTGTGTGAATCCCAAGTCTGTTCCTTAATATAAAAATATACACATATATATTCACTCATTATTAAACACAATAAGAACAATTTTCTCTGTGAGAATTTCTCTGCATTTCCGGTATTGAGAATAATGAATAAAGCAGGCAGAAGTCGCTGCGTCTATGATGCATCTCTGTACATCTGATCTCAAGTCAACAAAGATGACTAAAGATCCTTCCAGCAACTTATGTCATGTGTATGAAACAGCGAAATATCATCTCCCATCAATATCCCTACAATTTACAGATTCATAAAGCAATCCCAAAAGATTGTTCTATGAATAGTAACTATTTATTGTAAATCAATCGCCATTGAACAATGCAATTTCACTTAACAAATGCTATTTGCCAGACTGACCAAAGAACAAGTCTTGTAATGAATTTATACTGCATCTCACCCTACAGTTATGACAGAATTGAGAATGAAGATCATTTCCCTCTCTAATTACACAGGGGTGAGTGAGGTCCTGAAGTATTTGTCAAATTATACCTGCACATTTCACTTAGAATAACATTTTTAGGTCTATCTGTGTCTTTTCAAATGATAAGCTCTCACCTATTTTTATAGTTAAACAATATTCAATTTTGTATATGCTTCATATTTTCTTGCTCCATTCAGCAGCTTATGGGCATTATTTTTATAGTTATATTTAAGATTCAATGCACAGGAGTTGATATTATACTATGCACATTTATTTTTTCCTGTTAGAAATTTTAGGCTTTAGGTCTAATCAATCACACACGCTCAGTTGTAAAATATATCAGACCCTCCACTTGCATCTTTGGTCTCTATTCCTTGGAATGACAAATTATGCCCTGCACTATAATATAAATGTAAACTATATATAATGTGTAAGTATATGTGTCAGCTAATCAGAGTTCTTACATCAAGGAATCATGTCAAAGGTAGCCATCAAAGATACATTTTTAATGCTTGTCTGTTATCTGATTATCATAAATATAGGCAGATTTTGCTTTCCTTTATAAGGACAGAAAATCAGTTTTATTTGTTCATAATATTTGAGAAAGGAATATTTTATATAGTTCAGTGACTTGTAAAATTGAGGAGTGGCACAAATAAAACATGATAACTGCCTGAATTAACATTATAACATTTCAAACCCCAGACTTATCATTAAGCCCTGATTAATTAGCAAGTATTTAACACATTTTAATTAAATCTTAATGATAAAATCACTGGTCACTGTTATAGATGTTAGAAATACTATGGCATACTAGAAGAGATATGGACACTGACTGACCTTTGGGGATTTATACTGAACCGTCAGACATTGCCTGAAATTATGGAAGTAGAATGGAACAGACAAACACAAGGCACAAAAGAATGATCCTGTTGGAGTGAATTCATTCCACGCCTGCAATTACATATCAGAGGGTAAAGTATTCCAAAACACTAGTAATTACCTGTGTTTCTTGACCTCTTACTTGGTAAAAATGCTCGTTCTGTATAATGCTCAATTTGAGTCACAGCTACATGTAGCATTGATGGTGCATTTTGTATTTTTTTTTTCCGAACTTGAAAGATGAATGATCAAAGGACCAACTCACAAGCCATTCTCAATGAGGAAACAGTTCGTTATCTATCTTCATTCTCTAGGATAGAATGCCTTCGGTTGTAAAGGTGGTGTACCGCAAATAGCTGGACTTTGCAGTTAGCTTGCTCTGGGACATGAAGCAAGGCTCTCTGTCTGATAGAATGCATCCACTGTCCCTGCTCTGACAAGTCTTTCCATCATCAACCTGCCAGCTCCCTCTCTGGACATACTGCCAAGCAGCATCACAGTAATAGAGTGTCTTCACACACTTTTTTCCCCCTTCTTCTCATTTTCACCATTAAAATGAAAACAAATTCTGCACAAAACTCTTAGCGTTCATTGTTTTTAGGGGTACTGGCTGCTTTTTACATTTCTGTTTCCATTTTTCTTTCAGTTTGCTTTTTTATCTGGTTCCCATGATAAAAAGCACATCATTCATTTCCCCATGGAAGGGTAATGCTGCTCCAAGGGAACATCTGTGAGGCCAATTAGCTGGGCTGGAAATGTGATATAATTGTTGTTTAAATATATTTAAATTACATGTTAATCACTATGTCATAATTTACGGGCTTTGAAAATAACTTTTTGTACTTCAGAGCCAAGCCAGATTTTACTTGCCTTTTCTGTTTTTGGTTTGCAACGAGCGCTTTAGTTTCCCTTCTTTCTCAATTCCTCACACTCGAGGAGCTGAACTTTTAATATTGGGAAGAATGACAGGTGCAAGTAAATTGGATGAGTGAAAATTAAGATCCCCACCGCAGCCAGAATGAGCTGGAGTGACCTTAAAGTCCTGCTCAGGACAAAGCATTGCTCTCAACTAAAAGGCTTTGTTTTCACGTTGTGCCTCTTTCTACTGTCCATCAAAGTCTGGCTTTGTGGATCTTTGGGAAGCAGCGCCAGGTGCACTCATTCAATTAGCTGGCGAGAGGATTTACTGCCAGCAGGACAGAGATAGAAAGAGGTGGGTTAGGAACCGGCAAGTGATGAGGAGTATGCTCCTGGTGGGGCGATTAGTAAGGGTGATGGATAGAGGAAGTTTAATGTTGTGGCCCTATCACTGGGACATTGTATGATTGACTTGAACCCAAATGTCATAGGGTATAGAGAAGGCAAGTCTTAGCAAACAAACAAACAAAAAAATGTAGTGTTAAAGCACTTTTAAATGCCTTAAAATTAATCTTACAGTTGAATAGTGCATATTTGAACCTTTGTATGATTACATGCACAGTATTAATGTTTATATTATTTAATATTGATCCTGAGAAATTGTAAATAAAAAACCAGTTAAATTGTAATTTGTGGTCTAAAAAATTATCATACCAATGTATGTTCTTAGAAAACAAAAATAACACATGTTTAAATGCTTAGTATGTATCAAAACATGTGCTTAATGAGTTTTTAATCTCTAAATAATTATAGTTTTTGATAGCAAATAACAAACTATAGCAATTTCAAGCACAAAGAACATAAATTCTGCCATCAGAAATAGAATGTGTCTGTAAGACATGGCTAATCCATCCATCAGCACTAACTTACTACCTAGACACGTCCACGTAGTAACTATAATGGATTTTCAACCCTTTGTCCTCCCAGGCATGTATGCTTAACAGTCTGATAGGCATTTCCACTTGGTCACAGGTCAGACATCAACTCAGAGAAAGTGTTTTGGCATGGTGTGCAGTTCCTGACAGGCAGCTGCAATGTTCCTTCTTCCTTACAAGTTCATATACTACTATCTTGAAGACTTTCATATTTCAGAGGGCAGACAGAAGAAACCTGACAAAATGTGCCCATGTGGGAGAGGCCTATTGAGATTTCAACTGCTGATGTTAATCCGTCCATCTATGATTTTACATGTACTTATATATATGAAATCTATTATCACCTATCAATGTGTCTATTTATTATTTATTATTTACTTATTTATTATCTATATAGTACTCATGTATCTATTATCTATGATCTATAAATCATCTACTTAGGATCATCTTTTTATCTATTATCTATATATCACTTGTTTATCATCTATCTCTTATGTACAGATATAAATATACATCATGTGTCTTTGTCTATTTATACCACATCTAATAGCTTTCATTTATGGATGTGTTTATTTACTAATGTCCTCACTTGTTTGTCTCATTTGAGTGAGTAGGACTGTTCAAGCACTTTTGCTCCATTCACCACATACAAAGTTAGCAAGTATCCTGTGATCCAGCGAAGGGACCATTTACTTGTGCTCTTGTTCTTTATTAACTTTTCAGTAATCTTAGAACTTTTAATCTTTCACGTGTCTTATCTATCCAACTGGTAGAAAGTGTTTTAACAAAAGGAAACCATGAATGATATCAGTAAGTATGAGTGACATAAGCACACAATGTAGGCAATATGTAGTTTTCATTCTTCACTCAAAGTTCTCTCTTGATGTGAAATCATGTTGCATACAAATGCATTTACCTACCATTCCCAAAGTCAGCCTTGAAGCAGGCAGAGAACACAAGGTCTTGACATAATAGCACTTCTGTTTACTGATTTACTGTTCCTAGTACAGGCCTTAGTGAGTTCCTCTTGCTGCCTGGCTCTGGGTAAATAA